TGTTACACCTTGTCCAGGGTCCAAGAGACAGAAAGAAAAAGAGCAGGAAGAGTGGTAAGAGGTGGGGGTTGGGGGGCTCTATGCCAGAACTCAACCATGTGGCTCCAAGCTGCCTGGAACATGGACTGGGGATTGTGAGGAAGCACATAGACTATCTGATGAGCGCTACGGGTTTCTGCCACAATATACAACCTTCGATACAGTTTAGCTGATGCAGAAGAGAGTGGCATTATATCCTTCTTAGGTAAAGGCGTTATACCTCTGATAACACAGCTGACAGTCCTTGAGCTGCTTCGGCAGCCACATGTCGCTGATGGTTCCTGCCTCCTACACGGCCCTGTTCTCTGGGTACTCCCATGGCTGCTGGTTGAGGGCAATGCCCACTTGAACACCACACGCTCGTGCTCTCCTACGCAAATTGGGCATTTCCCTAGAGGGACAGCACCCGCTCCCCACAGGCCCCCTTTGCATGCTGCTTTTCATGACACGCTTAACTCTTCCAAGCTGGAGGGGACCCACCGGCACTGGTGAGTGCCAAGACCACTCCTGATGGCTGGAGGCGAAGGGGCCAGTGCACATCCCACGGTGTTGGCCGTGGGTGAGTTTGCCGCCCAAGGCATCAAAAAGTTTGAGCAGGGTCATGATATCCTGCTTTCCATTTACACCCAGTCACACTCTGGGGGGTTACAGGGAAGAGGTGCAGAAGACACAAAACACTGCTGAATGCATTACCAAAGACCCCAATCGCAGCAGATAAGAGTAATGGACCCCCAAAGTCTACCTCCTGATCTCTGGAACTTGTGAGTGGGTTACCTGCAAATGGGACTTTGCAGATGTGATTGTGCTAACAATTTTGAGATGGGGAGACTATCCTGGATTAGTCAGGATTACCCATGCACTCAGTGTTCTTAGAAGAGGGAGGTGGGACGGTCAGAGGCAGAGGAGAAGTGACGACAGAAGCAGAGGCTGGAGGGACATGGGGTTGTGAGCGGGGGAATGTGGTTATCTTCTCCAAGCTGGGAAAGGCCAGGAAATGGATTCTCCCTGGGAACACAACTGCCAACCCCTTGATTTTTAGCCTGTTGTGACCCATTTCAGACTCCTGACCTCCCAGAACTGTGAGAAAATAAAACTTGTGCTGTTTTAAGCCAATAAACTTGTGGTCATTTTCTACAGCGGTAATAGGAAACAAATAGAGATTTTCACAATGCACTACTGAAGCTCAAGTACAGAGCTAATAATTATTACCATTCCAAGGTTATTATAAGGGTCATTTGCCACTCCACTCCCACCTGCAGTATCTCCCGGAGTCCCCACAACAGCCTGAGCAGTAGGCTCTTTACTTGTCCCCATTCCACAGACAAGAACATTGTGGCACCCAGAGGTTAAATTACCTGCCCGAGGTTCCTGGCTGGTACATGGCAGGGTTGAGACCTGAACCCAGGCCATTGGATAGGTTGCTTCTTAACCACCCTGTAACATGGTTTCTTGACTGTTCAGCAAAAGAAACAATGAGTGAATGGGCAGGGCGTTGAAGTGGACGTGAGTGGGCAAGGGTGAGGGCAGATGGTATTCCAAGAGGGGGACAGCACAAGTCAAGGGGTGATGGCTAAGGAATTGCCCCCCCGCCCATGCAGCCTTGTGTCCCCGCTGTGGCCTCTGACACAGTTCTGGCCTCACCTGGTGCTCAAGAGGCCACCTCTACCTTCTCCCTAGAGAGCACCTGCTCTGCCCCACCCTCTTTTCGAGGCTGAGAGATTCCTAATCTTCTTCCCACCCCACTGGATCAACTGACTGATAACATCGGTACATGACACCGGGGCAAAGTGACCTCCTTCACCCATTTTATTCCACCCCCCCACCCCAAAGCTCTTTAATGATGACCTTTTCAAATGTTTGACAAATACACCCATGAAAGCCCTGACCCAAGGGGGAGTGATAAATTCCAAACTAATGTCTAATATTTAATATTTGCTTTCAATAACTGTAAACCAAATTCTGGTGATAACGAGAATAATAGGTTTCGAACCCAATCAAACTGTTTTATGTCAAGTATTTTAAACTAATGTGGAAGTTAGAACTTGCAAAGAATGGATACAGCATGGCATGGAGTAAAAAAGAGGTTCGAGCTGGTAGCCAGCTTGGGTGCCACTAAAAGGGCACATCAGCTACAAACAGGGAGCTGTGCCCACAGTAGAAAACAGAGATTCAAGGCAGCCCTTCCGGGCTCCTGGGCTCCTACACCGCACCCCCCCCCCCAGCCTCACCCCTCTACACCTGGGGCTGTGTTTTAGGCTCTGCCGGCAGCTCAGAACCCTTGTCTACCACGCACATTGATGCTGCAGCAGATGTCTGGGGACAGACACCTCCTTGGCTGTATCTCCCTCATCCTGCTCTGCACCTGTGGGTGCACCTCTGGAGGGCCCCCTAAAAGGTCCTGCAGGTGCCACCAGCCTAGATGCTCCAGCTTGAGGACTGAGGGGAACAATATCCTTCCCTACATGTATCCTACTTGTGATACCTAGCATTTCCATCCAAACTAGTAGAACAGGAGAACCTGATACAGCCGAAGGAAAAAGGCAAAAATAATACTCCCCTGTCCTCTCCTTCACACCCAACTCCCACCTAGTCTGAAATCAACTCCTCCACCTACAAGCTGGGTAACCTTTAGCGAGTAACTTCACCTAAGCCTTAGTCCCCAGTTCTGTAAAATAGGCACAGTGGTGCCTTTCCCATAGGATTGTGGGAGCATTACACAAGGTGATGCATGTGGCCAGACACGGAGGAAGCCCCAGGCAGTGCCAGTTCTTGTCAGTCATGCAGAGACACACAGACACAGAGACCTCGCCTATGGTCACTTGCACACATGCAGATGCACAGAGGCCCAAAGCCACAGGGAGCTCGCACATGGGCACACACAGGGACACACAGATCCGGGGGACCCATGGAGCCACTCCATCCAGGCCCTTGCTCTGCCTCAGCCCCATTTGCTTAGAGCTGGACCTGACCTGTTTTTCTGGGAGAACTGGCAGCATCAAAGGGAGCCCTTTCAGCTCTGCCCCACTTTGATATGCTGATGGAGGGGCCCTGGCCTGGCTCCCCACATACTCAGACTTTCATGCCACAGCGCTCCAGGCATAACACCCCACAGCCCCACCCCTTTAATTTTTGATCTGGGGGAGTAGAGGCAGGAGGTGCAGCTGGGAAAGGATTTCTCATCCACAGTCCATAAACACACGGGCACACTCACAGCGACACAAGCAGACTGGACATAAAAGCACCTGTTTTATGCTCACAGGCATAGCGCCCTGCCTAGCAGGGAGGGGACCCAGCAACCTCGCAGATCCAAATCCTCTGACTCCAGATTCAAGGCTTTTTGCACTGTGAGAGGCTGCATTAGCCCTATCTCCACTGTCACCACCACCACTGTCACCATCATCACCATTACCATAGCCACCATCAGCACCAACAGCATAACCGCCACAACCATCATCCCCACC